GGCTTAAAATTCTCTCTCTCTCCTCTCTCTCTCTCTCTCTCTCTCTCTCTCTCTCTCTCTCTCTCTCTCTCTCTCTCTCTTCTTTTTTTTTTTTCTCTTTTTGAGACAGGATCTCCCTGTAGTCACAGCTGGCCTGGAATTTGCTATATAGACCAGGCTGCCCTTGAACTCACAGAGATTGCCTGCCTCTGCCTCCTGAGTGCTGGGATTAAAGATGTGCCCTAGCACACTTGGCAAAGGTATTCCTTGTGTGTGTGTGTGTGTGTGTGTGTGTGTGTGTGTGTGTGTTGTCGTTCTGGGGATTCAACTCGGGACCTTGTGCATACCAGACAAACACTCTACTATTGATACCTGTAGCCCTATTGCATGTTTTCAACTGGTTGCTTTGTGTGATTTATTGTAGTAAGTTATGTGGGTAACAAAAGCATATATTAAAACATATCTTAAGACAATGATACAAATTTGTGATTAAGAAAGGTAGGACTCCTTGACTGGGGTTTCGCTGTAGGTTTAAGCAGATATATATTGAGTGCATGATCCAGTTAGAGTTTTTATCTTCTTAGCTAGGGAGTCTCTTAAGCCCCACCTCTGGGCCAGGATATCTTCCTGTCTAAGCACAAACTGACTCACCCATAGTGAAGGTATGAGTCAAATATTTTGGCTTCATTTATTTTGGCTTCCTGAAGACTTTCTTGGCTTATACACAAGACACTGGGACTTTGTCTTCAAAATTCCTGGCTTGTTCTATCAAATCCTCTCAAAGAACAATGGAAATGATCCAATAGGCCTTCCAAATTCAATATCCAATGAAGAACCATTGGAATTACGTAAAGCCATTGGTCACAAATTCTATCCTGATCACAGGGTAAGGTTAGTCAACAGCAAGAACTCATCAGTTTGAATGTAACCCAACACAGAAAACAATCCCAGGGCTAGAAGAACTAATATGACATAACTTTTAGGCAGATGAAAGACAAAATATAGGAAATGAAATCTGGAAGATATATACTATTAAAATAAAAGGATACTGAATGATATGAATACATGTAAAATATTAAACTGATGCTTTCAGATTGTCATCCTTGAACAGCTTAATCTTTACGTTCTTGAACAATTAAAAGGACTTATGAACAGGAGTTATATGAGCAACTTAATTTTTCTTCAGACAATGTAGGAACACAAATCTTGGTTCTCATCTGAGAAGCTGACCTGAGACTGTTGGAAAAGGATGCTTTTCTCTGGATTTATGCCACAGGCAAGAAGGACAGCAGTCATGTCCCAGAGGCTCTGACGGAGTGTGGTGGGGTCTTGCGAGACGGTGATGGAGTGGAGGTCCACAATGCTGTACAGCACCGTGTCATATGTATCCTGTAACTTCACCCAGTTCTCAATGGCTCCCAGGTAATTTCCCAGGTGGGGGATTCCTGTAGGTTGTATGCCAGAAAACACCCGTTTCACGCTGTCTTTCTGGAACAAAGGAAAGCAAACATATTCACTTTTCAGGCAGCATCCAGGATTTCTATGCTCATGTCATCACATAATCCTATTTTTGTAAACTGCACCCTGGTCATCATCATGCATCTACTTTGTGCTTACTCTGTAAGTCTCTATGCTAGGTGCTGTTAGAGACAAAATGGCATTCATATTTTCCCTTGAAACCTTACACACACAAAGATACTTAGGAAGAGTATCTTGGCCCAAGAGAATGCAATCTAGTTGGAGATGGCGGGTTGTTTATGGAAAGGTAAGGTACAAAGTGGCAAAACAATCATAACCAGTTTGACAGATAAAAAGGGTATTCAGACATCAGTTCCCAGGAAAAGATGACTGTGCTCAGCAGGAAAGGCTTTGGACGTAGAAACGAATTTCATCAGAGATGACAGGAGGGTCTTACATGTGAGCTCACTTTAAAAAATATTTTATTATTTTTTATTTTATGTGTATAATGTATTTTGCCTGCATGTATGTAAGTGCACCCATGACGTGCAATGCCAGAGAGGTCAGAAGAGGGCTTCGGATTCCCCTGGAACTGGAGTTAAGGATGATTCGTAGCCGCCATGTGGGTGCTGGGAATTGAACCCAGGTCCTTTGCAAGAGCAGTCAGTGCTCTTAACCGGTGAGCCATCTCTCTCCAGCAATAAAGGCTACAAGGTACTTTTATTTAGTTGTTTTTTAAACTCTCAGTATTATAATTTAATGGGTAGGATCTTGGGCTAGGATTCGAAAACATACATTTCATCCTAGTATTTTTTGAGATAAATTTATTAAAGTGTTTTCTACTTCATTTTGATAAAACCATACTTAGCTTTTTAAGTTACTCAAAAGAATTTTTAGTTCTGCATAATTTTCTAAATTATAGTAATATTTTTGTCATGGTCATATTTTCCATTTAGAATACGTTTTCTAAAATGTTGTTATAAATAAAATGAAAAAGAGGGACTGGAGAGATGGCTTAGTGGTTAAGAGCATTAGTAGCTCTTGCAGAAGACCGGGGTTTGAATACCAGCACCCACATGGTGGCTAACCACCTCCCGTAATTCCAGTTCCAGGGGATCCAATGCTCTCTTCTGTCCTCTGTGGGCACTGTACAACACAGATGTACTTACATGCATGCAAGCATAACACTCATACACATAAAATAAAAATAAATAAATAAAAATTAAAAAAGAAAATGAGAAAGAAAGAAATGAATTAGGGAGTAAAAAGTCTTTTCCCTGATTTAATATTATATAGTGGAAAACCAAAAAAAATGAGTATCAGTAAATGTGCCGTAACTGAAAGGTTCTGAAGACCAAATGCATCATCACAATTTTAATCAACATAACAAAATATTAATAGTATGCATAATTTACTGGAAAATTTTACTGTTAGTATTTATGCTTGGTTCTTTATGTACAGCAACAGTTAATAATGGTCCCTGATATGGTAGGCATATTATTATCTCCAACTTGCAGATAAAAAAACTGAAGCTCACAGATCATAATACAGTGCCCTTGGTCACACAGCTAGTAAGGGGCAGAAGTGGGATTTCAAGACACCTATCACTGAGTCAAAAGCCCACATGCAGTCCCTCCACTAGTACCATGTTCTGCTTAGCCATTATTTAGAATTTATTATATTCAGTAAAGTAATTCTGCAGGCTTAAAAATTTGTAAACCAGTGACAGGGAAAAGGCCATTGTCATATTCTTGTGTGTCGTGTGTTGATTTTCTCTGGTGTACATCTGTAGGAGTGGAACTGCAGAGTCATAAGCTGTGTGTATGCATCTTCAACTACACTACAGTCTAGTACACTATTCCTGATACATAACAGTATACACATTCTACCACCAGTTCCTGCTGCCCCATTCCCTGTAAGCACTTGGTATTGTCAGACCTTCTGTTAGCTATGGCAGCAGACATGATGCTGAATCTTATTATAGTTTAATTTCTTCTCTTTGATTATTAAAGAATTTGAGATTCTTTTATGAATGTTACTTTTACTTTTTTGTGAAGAGTCAATTCAAAGTATTTTGTGTTTTTCTTAGATATAAGAATTTGTGCAAGTTCTAGAGAATATTTTGTCATCACATAAGACAAATATATTCTCACACTCATGTGCTTACTTGTCTTCTCCCCATTATCTTTTGATGAAGTTCTATTTATTTGGTTATTTACTTGGATCTTTGTAAGAAAGAATCTCACTGTAGCCCCAGCTGGTCTGGAACTCATTATGTAGACCAGGCTGGCCTTGATCTCACAGAGGTCTACCTGCCTCTGCCTCCTGAGTGCTGGGAAGAAGCACTCTAGTTAAATAAATATAAAGTGTTTGACTATAGACTTTTGTGTCATAGAAAATTTTCAATACCATAATGTCATGAAGACATATGCATGTACATACATATATACAAGTACATGTGTGTATGTACTGTAATGTTTTTCTTTCACATTTAGGTCTGCATACATTTGAAGGTTTTTTTTTGTTTGTTTGTTTGTTTTGCATATGGTGTGAGGTAGGTATTTGGTTTGGTCCTTTATGGATATCGAATGTTTGAGTACCATGTGTGGAAAAGGTTGTTTCTTCTCATTGCTCTGTATCACCGTCTGTCACATAGGGGTCCCAGTGTATCCTGTGTCAGGAATCTGGTAAGAACCTGAAATGAGATTGCTTGAGGTAGAATGGACGTCTTTATAATTCAGAGCTCTCCAACACAGGAAACCCTATAGCATACAAGGCTTTATTTATCTTTTTAACCTAACAACAGCTCCTGAGAACTAACGTACTTTATGATTTATTATTTTATTTTATGTGTATAAATGTTTTGCCTGAACGTATGTAAATGCACCACATGTGTGCAATGCCCAAGGAGGCCAGAAGAGAGTGTCAGATCCCGTGGAGCTGGAGTTACAGACAGTGATTAGCCTTATGTGGGTGTTGGGAACCAAACCCGGGTCCTCTGCAAGATCAGCCAGTACTCTCAACTGCCAAATCATCTCTCCAGCCCCAAAGTAATCTACTTTAAATAAGTGAATGCCAAGGGTCTTTAGGTTTTTCTCTTCTGCATCCCTAAGAATCCAAAACCCTACATATACAATTTGTGTTTTCCTCTACCAAGAAGATGACAGCTCTGAAGTAGAATGCTACGTCATATTTCCATGGTCCAGCACTGAATTTGATCCAAACAGTCAGGAGAAGATCCAAAAGATTTGTAGCTCTGAGGATATGAAAAATACTACTTGAGCTACTGTGAACAAAATAATCATAATCTCAATCCCTCCTCTCTCTCTCTCTCTCTCTCTCTCTCTCTCTCCCTCTCTCTCTCACACACACACACACTCACACTCACACATGCACACATGTACACACAGGACATCTTCAACTAACTGTTCAAATCACAACTAAAAACAGTATTTTAGGAGTAGTTTTCAGTTGAGAATTAAGGGGAAAAGGATAGTGACTAAGAGAGGGAGAGGAAGGGAAGGGAGGGGAGGGGAGGGGAGGGAGGGAGAGGGAGAGGGAGAGAGAGAGAATATATTAGTGAGGCTTCCTCCAGTACCCAGGGACCTTAACTAGCTCTGGGTTTCTGATATGGGAATAAGCAAAGGGGTTTTAAGTGCAGTAAAAAAAAAAAAAATGATTAATGGGCTTCAGGGCTGATTGATGAAGAGAGAAAGCAAAGCAAAAAACAAAATCTGAACTTAATAAATGGACAGGAAAAAAAAATCCCACCCAGAAATACTTGAGCAGGAAGAAGAGCAACTGTTTATGGCAATGTAAAGGGTTATGAAGACCAGGGATATTAAGATTAAAAAAAAAAAGAAAACGAATAATTCCATATAAATTCCTCCATGGTCAAACTCAGAAACTGTGCCCCAGGAGAAATGGGAAAATAAATTCTTGAGAAGACTAGAAGAGAAAAGCATAAGAGGACAGACTGTGGGAAAAAGCAACTGTGACCAGTGGGAACAGATTAGATGTGATCTAACACATCTTTTCCGTTCTCTAGTTTGTAAGATTCTGTACATCAGTACAGAGGGAATGATATTACCAAGAAATAAGAGCAACAAGAAATGTTTTGTTCAGTTTTCAAGGAGCTATTAAACAAATACAGCCTCTAAAGGGGACCTGGATTCCTAGTCTTAAAAATATACAGAGAGCATCCTGCTCTTCTGAGCTGAGTTTATGTTGCTGTCTGTTCGCCTGCAGGAGCCAGCAGGCGGCCTGACGGCATGGCAGGGAGGTGCGCCTGGTGCCATGAGATCACGGAGTTGGAATGTGCAGTTTGGGTGGTGGGAGGATGGGGGTTCTGTGTTCAAAAGCACTGGAGTTAGAGAATAAAAATGAAAGCAGCCAAGGCTTCCCAGTGGACAGCAGTCAAGAAACAAGGAAAACAGCTTCAAGACTAGCCCACAGGCATGCACTCGCTGGAGGAAAAGGATTCCACAGTGTGGACAGAGTAAACAGGAACATTTTATGATCCATCATCATTTTTATTTCAGGAATATTTCCTTAACAAAAGCCACTTCCATTCAATCCATGTATCAGCTCACTTTAGAACCCACACCAGCAACCCACACAGAACTTGATATAGTACAGAAAAGAGGGTGGAGGACTGAGTTTACCAATTCCAGACAGAGGTGGTACTATCTTGAATAAGGTCCTGGGCACATCCAAACTTTATAATTTTCTTAATGTTAATGACTATACTCAAATGCAGTTGAAGATCCTAAACTGTTATTATAGAAGACAGTGCTTGCAATCACTCAAGAGGGCTTCTGATTTTAATCCCACATGAATAAACCGTACCAAAGGATTTCAGGCTATCTACCAGCATGAAAACTCTTAAAATTTTATTTTTACATTTATTTATTGGGAGTGGTATGTCATGATGTGCATGCAGACGTCAAGGAGGACAACTTGTAGAAGTTGGCTCTCTCCTGCCATATCCATGTGGTTCTGGGGATTGAACTCAAGTCCTTAGGCTTGGT